AGTATTTTCCACCTTGAGTTATTTATGAAAATAATAAAAATGGGATAAAAAATAAAAGTTCAGCAGAAGTTTCTGCAGGCATTGAGTCCTTAAAAAAATAGACTATCTTCCATTTATGTTAAATGGAAGTGAAAAATTCTGGTTCTTTGGCCTAAAATAGAAAGATAGGAGAAATAAAGACTAGGTATCACCAATGAAATCCCACAGGACCAATGTGAAAGGCTGATGCGGTTTAAACGGCATAAATGTATCTTAGGATAATATAATCTATGTTCACATCATGGGAAAGTTTGCTTAAGATCTGGTGTTTTCTCTACCGTCAAGAGGAATTTACATCTTTTAGGGATAAGATGTGAAAATACTGTTTCTTTTTCACATTTCTCCTTTTACATGAATAGAACAAATCAAAAACCAAAAGCCCGTCAGGGGATAGACAAGCCACATAAGCAGGTATAGCCTCAGGTCTCAAAATAACATCCTAGCCCTACATAAATCTATCAACTTCTCAACACCAAGAAAGGGGGAGAGCTTTTAGAGAATCAGATACCATCATTCAAGTATCCCTTTCATGCTTATTTTAAAGGTCAGAAACCCAAGATGCAGAAAGTGCTTCCAAAGGTAGCAAACAAGAGAAAAAGTGGTAGAGGATGAGCCTAAGAGTTCACTATAGATAATAACCACTTGGATATCAGAGTCAAGATTTTGCAAATCAAACACATAAGGAAGGAAACATGCCATGCTGCTTCTGCTCACTCAAGGTGAATCCAGATGTTTGTTCTTGAAGGTTTTTTCCCCAATCCCAACACACATACATCCCTGCAGATGGATTGGGAGTGAGGCAAATCCCATGGTTCCCAGATGTACTGGATCTGTAGTCCCAATACATTTAGAGCTACCAGGCTAGAAAGAAATGGTATAGAATTTCCTTTTGATTTCATTTTTTCATGTCCTGTAGCAATTTTGTTTATGCATTTTTTTTGGATACAGGAATACTTTTTCTCTAAATGATGACATCTGATTTTACTTTATGGTATTGAGAAAGAATTGTATGCACTACCAACACATTTAATTCTTTTAAAAGAAATATTTAATTTATATAAAAAAGAAGAGAAACCCCCTAATAATACATTACCAATTAATAGATTATCAAACTATTTGTGTATGATTTGAAATATAGAAATTCACTAGGTTAGATACAGATGATATTATGCCTTAAACTAACCTACTAAAGCCAATGGGATGTAAGTTAATCATGACAAAATTAAGCATTTTAGTATGTCTCTCTCTCTCTCCCCCCCCCCATTTATCTATTTGTTTATTTATCTTAAGTGTAGTTCTGACTGGATCAAACTAAATTGCTGAGTTCACCATTGTGTTAAGACCTAATGTGATTTATTTGGATTTGCTTGTAATCCATCCATTATGCTTTGTAAACTATGGTTTACAGTTAAGTTTCTTATTCAAGTGCAGCTCTTTTATTCAATAAAAAAGTTAGGCAGACCAGGGCATAATACAATGCTTGAGCTTAAGTATAATTTAAATAAAGTTAAAGGACCTTTGTAATTAATAATAAAGGTAGGAGAATGGAAAAGAACAAAACTGATATATATGTTGTGCATAACCTATAACTCCTAAGCACATGTTGAACCTAAAATATAGATCTCATGAATTGGAGCACAATGACAGATCCAGGGGTGCCGCTTGGACTGCATGCCTCTCGCTGTAAAAGTATCAAATTAAAGGACCTGGATTATGAAACTTTTATAGTTGTACATTGATCAAAATCAAACTACTCTGATTTTTCTGTAATTTTTCTAGCACTGAGAACATCAGTAAACAAACAGGAAGAGCAAACTATGTATTAAGCAAATCTTAACTGTACGATCTGCATATTATTTTCATGAAAATAAAGTTGGTAGATCTGCTATGTATCTTCTGCTCTTATCCTAAAACTGCCAGGCCCCAAGTGAGGAAAATAAAATATAAATGAGTAAAGTCCCATCTGCTTTCCTTTAATTCAGTCACTTTTTGCTATCACAAATAGAGACTTTGCTTTTATTTGTAATTAAAGGGGAAAATCTGATAGGTATAACATGTTGCCCTTATAGGTGGGTATCAATTCAAGGCAAGACACTTAGAAAATAGGAATCTTTTGAGTGAAATCTGAGGTTTTAGAGTGAACTGAGAGTGCATCACATAAATAATCAATCTATGCCTTGGGTTATATATTTCATAACCTGTCTTACTGCTTGGCTAGAAATTATGGAGACACAGTGCTGTCATTGCCATATATTACCCTTTCCTTCCTTGGAAAGGCTAAATAAATCATGTATTTATAGCGTGTGCTGGCTCATCTATGTCTCATATTAAAGCCAGCATCAATGGGCACCTGCTGCATACAGACAATGAAAAGGAAAGATAAACACCGACCACTGTCTGCTCATTTATTTTGGCTTTTTGTTCTTCTGGAAAGTAGGTAGAGGACAAATGGCTGAAAAAGAATTACTTGAAAAAGATAGAAAGAACTACTCTTGGCCTCTTGACTAAATTCCCCCCATCCCCTGCCTCAAACATAAAATCCCCTGCTAGAAAGGAAAGCAGCAACAATGTCAGAGTGCCATGACATGCATAACTTTATAGAAGACAACATCTTCATAGAGATCATGATCAATATTGGTAATGTAATGATTCATTGATTGCATAATGGTTGTTAAGGCACCAGCTTAGAAACTGGAAGACCGTGATTTCTAATCCCACCTCAGCCATAAAAGCCAGTGGCAGATCTGAGCCAGTCATTCTCTCTAACACCAATACATCTCACAGGGTTTTGTTGTGGGCAAATGAGGAGGAAGATCTATTGGATATGTTTGACGCCTTGAGTTATTTATAAAAAAATAAAGGCAGGATACAAATAAATAAAATGAGTATTATATTTGTTTTACATGCATGTTCTACTGTATTAACAAATGTTTCATGTGAGGCACCTCTGTGCTGGAACAACTGAATTGTTAATAAATGAATATATTGTTAATAAATGAATCTACAATAAATATAATGTATTGCTTTATTAGTTTATTGTATTTACTCTGTAGGGTTTTATGTAAGCAAACCCACTAATTTTTGACTATAAAATATAGCTATTCAAATGTATGGAAGCATATAATTAGTAGCTAGGATTTTCTGATCTGAATATAGAAAAGCCGGGAGTTAACGTGGCTTATAAACAAGACAACTGAAATATGAAAGGCTAAGCAAGATATTTTAATCATAATAGCTGCCAATCTAGGTGTTGCCAATCCTGGAACAGATTTTTTTTTTTAAAAAAAAAAAACAACAACAACTGGTCCTGGAGATGCAAACAGGGCGAGGAATGAGTTTGCCATTCTTGTATGATCCAAAAACAAACAAAAAAAAATTGGCTGGATGTTATTAGCTGGTAGAAAAATATCTGGCTGAGAAGTGAAACTGGATGTTCTTCTAGGTCAGGGGAAGGCAACCTTGACTCTTTTATGACTCGTGGACTTCAAATCCCAGAATTCCTGAGCCAGCATGGCTCAGCTTGGAAACCTCTCCCTTTCTCCTCAGCATGGCTGGCTCAGGAATTCTGGAAGTTGAAGTCCATGAGTCATAAAAGAGCCAAGGTTGCCTACCCCTGTCCTAGGTGAACATGGTATCTTTCCATAGAACTTGCATTATATTCTGAAGGAGTAAAACACTGGGCAATGGATACATGCGAATAAGTTAATTCCCATTTAAACTTTTCTGAGTTTGGGGATTTCTATTAGTAGGAACATAACAGAATAGCCAAATATATTTGGAGGATACCAGAGATAAAAGGCCAAATTGGCGTTATATTTTGATCAGAGCCTTCAGAAAGCCCACACAATCATCCAAGAGAAGCGAAACGTCTTCTTCCTCAAGGAAAAAACATAGTCCAGTTGCTTTTGAAGAAAAGGTATCCTTGAGACAACCATGACCTGGATGACTGAGAACCTCCACAGATCTGCGCAATCTTGTATCTTGTCCAGTCCTGATTTGTTGACTTCCTGATTATAAAGGAACAGTGTGTTTCCTCCATTGTCTTGCTAATGACAATCTAATGATGGAATTCAATGATTGACAAAAAAAAGCATGGTTCCTATCAAAATAATATATTCCTTATGTTCTTAGTCTATTTGAATATGATTATAACCCCCAATTTTTATCAGATGTTTGTCTTCCTTGCTTCTTCTGATAGCCTGCTATCTGTAAGTTGTACTTGGTGCTATTGGGTATAGTTTCTTATATTAAATGGTAATGACAGTGTCCAATAAAGCTAACAATGGAAAGAAGTTTCAATGGGTTCATGCAGAAAACTCAAAACCTAATGAAGGCTGGTTGTGGTGGTGTTGATAGGAGAGACAAACCTATTTCCAAAACAGATCAAGGCTCTTTTAATGTAGGTAAAGGAAGTTGTTACCCCTCTCTCACTTGTATGTATCAAATAAAGACCAGACACTATATTATACTAGGAAGAACAAAACAATGAGGCAAATAAGTTAGATACAATTTGCAGTAGTTGGATAGTTCAGTGCTAAATCTGTGAGAAACCATTATATTATACCTTGTAGCCCTGATTTACTTGCCTAAATGCAAAAGGCACATAAACTACTTTTCATCACAGAAGAAAAGGAACTCTTTTAGTGCTATATCCGCTCAATTGTTTTAAGTTTTTTAAAAACAATCTTAGTTTTAATAAATGAAATGCGTGCATTGAATAAGATAGTATTGTTGTCAGTGGTTCTAATAGCATATCACTATTAGCATGAAATCAAGGCTTACCTTTAATTCTGTCAATTTTATTCGCTAACTGGTATAAAACAAATAGTTTATTTGACGTAGAAATGTTAATTCTCTGACATTCTATGAATGTACATTTAATCAATTAATGTGAGGAACACATTATTTCTAGCTGACAAAGGAAAACAGAAAGAAGACCCAAAATGATAACAGTTTCTCACCTTTAGTGTTTGGTATTGATAAATGGAATCAGTGTCGATGAAATATGCAGATCCCTCCCCCCCTCTTTTTTGGAATGTCTGAGGGATATGGTTCTATGAAGAAATAATAATATAATAATAATAGTAATAAATTCACTACTTAAAATATTAAACTTAATCATTAGTAATCATTTAGTTAAATGAAAAGGATAAACTGATGATACTAAGGTTTCAACTGTGACTAAAAGTTATAATTCTAATAAAACAAATAATAAATTATAAGTATCAGAATGGAAAACCTAGGCTTTCTAGATATTTTTAGACTCCAAACTTTATCTTGCATGTAGCCTTCTTCAATTGCTTCAAGATGTGCTTAGCTACTAGTGAGATTTCTGGGACTTGAAGTTCCCCCTTGTGGAAGGTGTCACATTTAGGGACAGTTGCTTATTCTAAAGATATCTGCAAACCAGCATAGGTTCTCCACTCCAGATTAACATGATATCATTGGGAAAATGTTGCATCAATATCCCAGCCAATCACTAGCAGTTTTGCAAGTCAATTTAAAACAGGGAAACATATAATAAAGAATAGTTTGGATTCACCTCTTTCTTTAAATCCCGTTACTTTTCCATTATGATCTTAATTTGATGATAGCATTTTGCAATAGGGGCTTTGTGTGGCAAACATGCCAGCAAGTGCTTTTAAATCTACATAGGAGATTATATCTGCATCTTCTAGCTGCAGCTAGTTTTGGAAAGCAAAATTGCAGCTTGCTTTTTCAGGAAATTCTGCACAGCAGTCTGAAGAAAATTATTTGAATTACATTTCAAGCTGAAATATGATTGAATTACGTTTAAATATTAGCAAGATAGGACTGTGTCTATTTTTCTTGTGATTCCCCCAGAGTAAGAGACTTCTGCATGGGGAAACACTACCACAAAATAACTTTTCTTCCAGTTATGTCCAGCAGTAAAAATTTCTTTCAAATGCATGAAATATTTGATTTTTAAACTTCAAAACATTGCTATGCTTAAGAAGATATAACTGTCATAATACTCTTTCATTAACTTCTTTCTTATTTACAACATTCAAAGAATTTTGTTGGCATATCCTTTATTTTTTTCTTCCAACTTATGATTACAACTGGATGAGGATATCTGTTATCAAACTGCTTTTCATTACTCTCTTAAGCTACAATAAACAAGGCAGATATAGCTCAGTAACAAAATCTTAATTAAAAAATTCTGGAAAGGGGATTAACTACTTGAGTTCTTTGCTAGGAACCAGTCAAAATGGAATACAGGTTTAGCATAAGGATGTCCCATACAGAGTTTATTGGTTTCTGTGGAAATCTCTTCTATCATTTAGGAGAAATACACAAAAAAATGTATTTTCAACCCCAGTCCCTTAAATGTTCTATTTAAAGTTCTTTTTAAGAACTATCTGCACGTTTTAGAAAAATTCAAGATGTTAAACATGGTAGAATTTATTATTCATCAGCTGCACTGTCGTCACAGTGGAGATTTCTGACTAGTTGCCTTATTATTAGTTTAAAGGAAGCATGTTTCAGTTCACTACTCCTGCCAAAGCTGATTTGTTTATCCTGCTCGTCAAATTTATAAACTAAAAACAGAGGATTTAAACCAGGCTTTCAAAGTTGCATGTATAACTCCAATTCTACCAGTCTAAAATAATTTCTGGAAAACTTGAAGTATTTATCGCTGTGCCCACAAATCAGATTAAAATCAGGACGTTGCTTGCTACTTTTCTTATAGGTGGATACCTCAATTCTGCATATGCTTTCATAAAATTAAATTATACTTGTCTTAACCAGACTTACACGTAGACCATTGTGCAAAAATATCAGAGCTTAACTCTATTTATCATGCAGAAGTTCAACTAAACTCAATGGATCTATTTTGTAATAAGTCCAAGATATGTCTAAATCAATTAAAGCCAAGGATGTAAGCTACTGTTTGTTATGAAACAAAATCTAAAATTGGATGCCCCAATCTAAGCATCTTCTTCATGAAGGAAGAAAAAATGCTACTAATTGATACTACATTACATTAATCTTACTTACCACTCAACAAACTGTTCCTTGGCAAGTATCATATTTGCAACACAGTACTAATCCTCCCTCTGAAATCCTTTCTCTTGATATCATTATCACACTACAGTCATTTGATACCATACTGTATGTATTCTTAATTTTTCTTTTGTTTTCTTTTCCAAATATGAATGAACAGATGTCATAGGCTAAAATAGTTCTGTATTCACCAACAAGAAACCGCAGAGACAAAACGATGTGGAAAGACCGTGGTAAAGATAATGGAGGACTGATAATAACATGAAGACATGAAGGGTGGAACAAAAAAGAAGAAAGTGGAAGCAGAAACAAAAGAGAAAAGCTTCTGTGATTGGGTGGGTACAGACTGGTGCCTCTACAAAAAAAATTAATAAAATGATTTTGTACTGCCAGTTATTCTGGAAACTGTATTGCTAATCACTCTCTCTTGCCAAATGATGTAACTGGAGTTGGATCCTCTGGTGTTGTCTAAAGCAAGGTGGCCCAATATTACTACAATTGTACAACTATGTGATAAAGACAATACATAGCACAAGTGATACTCTTAATACTAGTGCAGGTCTTTAGATAAAATTTTACCCAATTTGGGGCCATATTTTACTGTACATGAGTTGCTTTTATATTAATCAATGAAATGTACTGGATGCTAGATACCTGAGTTGCATCATACAAAAGTGTTATTCTCCCTCTTGTGTTATTTATCTATGATGTACAATTTCTGACTGCAGTTGCAACTTTCGCAAGGCTATTTTTTTTCCATAACTGAGACAATAGCTGTCATATCCTGGAACACTAATGAAGAAGAGTAAAACAATGCTCACCACTGGTTGTAACTGGGCACCAGGCATCATGGCATTGGCTAGTTGCATTTGTTGGGCCAGCATGGCCATGTTCTTCTGCTGAATCAGGTTATTGCGGCCATTGATCTCCAACTGTGTTTTTAAGTGTGGTGGTGGGTGAAGATATTTGCAATTCTCCCTTGAACATCGTCCCTGAAATACAGGAAAGCAGAAGAAAAACTATTAGTTTTGCTTTGTTTGTTATATGAACTATTTTGATATCATTAGATGCACATAAGCTACACATATTACCTCCTTGTGTACATTTTATTTTTTCAGCCCTGTTTTAAACATAGCTATACGCAATGAAAACACAAATAATACAGATCTTTACAGGAAGTTGAACAACACTAAAAAACACATTGTGATACTGATGAAAAACCATACAACCAGTTATTATCAGTTACGCTTACGTCTGTATAATAGTAGTAATGATAGCAATTTTAAATTGTGGGTACTTATCACCAAGTGCAATACAATTAAATGAATAAATAGCCATATAAATGTGGGAATAAAATATTTACAGTTAAGGTTTTAAAGAAATGCTAATTGTAATGTTTTTTAAAGTTCAATAACTTCAGAAAAAAATAATAGATTTAAAACTGGATCATTCTCTGTAGATGGCAAAACAAAAAACCATCACCCTTTCTCCAAATATTGACAAAAGACAACTTTGGGATGAGTACAAATATTAACAATTGGCATTCTGTGCTGGCTGAAATACTTAAGAAGCACAACCGAGAAGTCCATGAAAATCATCTGGATTAAATTAAGTGCAAAGTAGCTCAGCCATCCCGACACTGACATCAAACTCCATGTTAAGTCCTGCCAGCTCTCTGGGTACAAGCAAACGAAGCTCAAGACCCCATTTAACATGTGAACGCTAAATGACATAAATGAGGCATATATCCTGAAAATAGCAAGCAGTCAACAAAATTACTGTTTTCAATTATCATAAGTAAATGGGCAATAATGGTGCAGGATCCAATCTGAATCAGTCACTGGGACCAGAGGTTTATTCTTCCAAGCTTTCAGGCTTGTGCTGGAGCCCATCATCAGGGAACTTCTCTCTCCATGATGATGGGCTCCAGCATGAGCCCTAAAGCTTGGAAGAATAAACCTCTGGTCCCAGTGACCGACTCAGATTGGATCCTGCAACATTATCCTGAGACACATACATGTGCCTTCATTCGAGGACAATAATGGCATCTATTTCCCCAGAGACATACTTAAGATGATAGTATTAAAGAACCCAAATGTCTTCTTGGCTGAATAAATACCATAATCTGAATAATTCTAATTCCTTTCCTAGAGCAAATAATTTTAAAAAATAATGGTGGCCATGTTCTGCTCCCTTGAGGTTCAAAGAGTCATTAAGCAAATAAATTATCATGTTGCTCTTTTGCACAGAAAGCTACCACACTTATATTTGTTGTTGCCGCAATGAATCAACTCAACACTCTTTTTTTGTGTCCAAGTAAATTGTTCATTTCTCCCCATCTGGCTCTGCTCTTGCCAGACAAATATATTTGACTAGCCAGTTAGCATTTGCACAACAGAATCTCTGATCATGGGATTTTATATAATTCTTCTGATTTTGTGGGAGATACATAATTCTAGTAGAACTTGTCAATCCAACCAACTGTATCAATATGATTTTCAAAGCACTATAAAACGCTATACATATGTTTGAAACAAATGAAAATAGGAAAGATATGCAACAACATCATGAAAAATAGAGAACATCCACTGTATAATAAAATGAATCTGATATTCAAGTAAATATTATTGTTCAAAGTATCTATAGTCTATAAAATAGGAATACTATAAGTATAAGGTATATTAGATGTTGATAGATTAGATATATAGACAGACAGACCGAGCATCCCATATATAAAATTTCATATACACTGACTAGTGGAAAACCAGTACCTGAGTAACACAGTCAATAGTACCAAGTTTAGTACTGTTGTATTGCCACAAGTATGAATACCTGTGCTCTTAATCTTCATGTGGTTTTCCTTGTATCTATTTTATTCCCCAACCAGTTCTGATTATACCAGAAATGTCAAACTCGCGACGTCACGTGACATCGCGCTACATATCGGAACCTTTTTGCCATTGCTGGCAATGGGGTGGGCGCAGTTTTGCGTTGATGCGTCTGGCCCGCGGGCCAGCAGTTTGACACCCCTGGATTACACCATTACTTTATACCTGTGTCATGGTTAAAACTCAGCAGCTAGTTTCTGCTTCTTTGGAGGGAAGGAGGTAGGTCACTAATAAAGAAAATGCTGGCCTCATTCATGAGTGTGATTAGGCTCTAACCACTTTGCAATCTCTGATCATGTACTGTAGCTGTCACTCCATGTTATCTAAAGATGATATTAAATTTGCCCTCCAGATACAAAATAATAATCTATTTCTGCATCATAATATGCAGCAAAAATGTGATAAGGCACATTACAGAATCAAAATTCTAAAAGCTAATGGTTTATAGGTAGCTTCCAAATACAATGTGTAAGGTCTATATTCGGGGTTCTTTTTTGTTTTTTTTGTTTATCTGAGGACCACAGAGTAGTTTCCAGAGGAACAAAGATAAAATTCTTGGCAATGGGCTAAGTCCCCTCCCTTAATAAGGAATAAGTATAAGTACAAGAAAGGTTGGATGCTGACATTCAGAAGTCCCACCTCACTTGATCAGGAGTTCCAGGAGTTTATTTTTAATGAAAAAGTTCTGCAGCCTGAAAATGTTTGAGAATCTTTAGATTAGCTCACATTCTATCACATCAGCACTGAGAGCTAGGTATTAATAAAACTATTGTGCAACCCTGTAAATATATATGTTTGCAATATGACCTAAGAGACTAAACAAAACTTCCCTGCCAAGTTACCTTAGGTATACAAATAAATCCAGTCACTTGAACACAGACGCACATTTATACAAAATGTGTAAATTTAATACCTTGAGGTTATCATGTCTTGTTTCTTGGACACAATTCTTCAGAACTGTGATATTTTACCATTCTTTAAAAAAATCCCTCTCATCTTTTTTTCCAATGAGAATTGTTAATCTATTTAAATTCAGAAATATATCTTTCTTAAAATACATTTTCTTTGGCATAAAATCCATACATTTCCAAGATGAGTCCTATAATTAAATGGTCATTAGAGATGACTGAGGGGAGATACAATAGTAGTTCTTCAGTATCTGTAAGACTGGAAGGACTTATTCTCTATTGCTCCAAAGAATATAACTAACAGGTTTAAAGGTATAAAGAAGTAGGGTTAAGAGAGATAGTAGTTGAACCTCCCTGACTGAACAAGATATCATTCAGTAGAACAAGCTGCCATATGAAGTGATCAGTTTTCTACAATTGGAGCTCTTCAAATAGAAGCTGGGTGGTTATCAAATATGCTGCAGTGGATTCTGCACTGAGTAGGGGAGCTGAATGACCTCTAAAATATCTTCCAACTCTGAGTCTAATGTACTAATAAATATTTTAAGTTCTATGAGTTTAGCTGCATAATGCTCCGAAGCCAATTCTTTTGAAACTATCAAAAGCTAAGCATTTTTAACAACAATAATAAACTTATCTGGAAAAAAAATCCACTGAATTTAGAGTTTTGCCAAGAAAAGATGTGTATGGAGTTGAACTCTTATTTTCCACTGCTTTTAGTACTGTAATCTCTGAAATGTTACATGAAAGTTGATTTTTTTTCCTAATTAAAACCAGAGGTTTAACTTTGCTATGCATTAAAAAAAGTGATCTTCAGAGTATAATGTAGAGGCAATATTTATTAGTTTTGGGACTATACCGGAGATAAGTATTAAATTTGCGTTGGTGTTCTCAGAATAATTGTACATTTAACAGTTCAGTAGCAGTACAAAATAAGTCAAAAAGTAAGAGGAAAAAAATTGGCAGCAAGATTTTATGACCTGTATTAGGTCAGATAATATGGACAAATCCAGAAAGATAACAAATAACATTTATAGATTGTTACAGAAGCTTGTTCCTTTTCTTATAACTTATAGCTACAAATCATCTCAATTTTAAGATTTCAGTGCAAAAGGCCTAAAAGCAATGTCACAGATATCCACATTTCGCTTTAGACTTTAACAATTTCTCTGAAGATAGATAGATAGATAGATAGATAGATAGATAGATAGATAGATAGATAGATAGATAGATAGATAGATAGATAGTCTTTAACTTATAACAGCAATTGGGACTGAAATTTCTGTCGCTAAATTTTGGGGTCATAAAGTCTGATTGTATCACTTAGTAACGGCAATGCCGGCAGTCCCAGTTATTAACTGAATCCCAAGGTCGTTAGGTGAGACCACTTCCCGCCAGCTTCCTACAAACAAATTGTGGGGAATCTGGCAGAAATCTGCAGGCTGGCAGGCAGGTAACTGGCTGCTTCTGGGGAGGGGGGAAGACTCAAGGGAGTGTGAAGATGCAAGAGAAGGCTACAAGGGGGGGGTACACTAGAGGCATAGAAAGGCTTGGGGAGGGTGTGAGGGATGTGAGGAAGGCACAGCAGGGCTCAAAAAGGTTGCATGCGTGACTGGTGCAATGCAAGTGCAAAGAACCTGGGGGAGTGTGCATGGGTGGGAGAGACTTACCCCAATATCTTGCAAATTTCCTTAACTTCCCCAGTGATTTACTGGGGAAGCTGGCAAGGAAGGTTGCAAGTGGCAATTATGTGATTGCTGGGCACTGAAATTGGTCATTAAGTGCAAGCCCCCAGATTGCAATCAATTATTGTAGGGGGTGCTGGGATGGCTGGAATTCTGAGAACTGGTCACAACCACCATTCATTCAGTGTCTGTGTAACTATGGTCACTGAATGAATGCCTATAAGTCAAGGACTACTTGTAGCCACTATATATCCACTTTGAACAAATGGAAGAGTTAATAGAAAAACAGTAGAGCTTCTGGGCTCTTAACCTGATTTGGAAGCAATTTTCATCTTGTATCAAGCCATATGGATATAGAGATACACAGTTGTGAAGACTGATATATCTGCAATGTAGAATAAAAGTACTAGTTAACTGAAAATGTATTTCCCTCTTACTC